AATTTTCAAAATTTCCCTGGTTTTAAAGAGCCACTAATACTTTTTTATTTCTAATATTTTTTTTTTATTAAGATTATTAGTATTTGCGCGAGGAGCTGGAGAGCCTCATCTTGATATCAAAAGAGCCGCATGCGGCTCGCGAGCCGCAGGTTGCCGACCCCTGCCCTAAACTTTAAAAAAAAAAAAAGAAAAAAAAAAACCACTAATGATGAAAATAAAGCAGGGGTCGGCAACCTGCGGCTCGAGAGCCGCATGCGGCTCTTTTGATGTCCAGATGCGGCTCTCCAGCTCCTTGCACAAATATTAATAGTTATATAATTTCATTTTTACTGGGCGGTGGGGTACGAACGACTTCACCCTGCGTTCAGTGGGATGGAAGATAAGCCTGGTGAGAACCAAAGAATAGAAGTTATTCAAACCGATATCCAAGCCAGTTAGAAGGCGCTTGCCGTGTAGAGGCCTGACTGGCTAATGGGAGACACCTCCTGAGCCGGTGATATCCGTAAAGAAAAAATAAAATTAAAATTAACAACTTCTAAAGTAAATTGAGATAGTCCTAGAATAATATTGATTACTAATTTTACTATTCTGGCGAAACATCTTTGTTTTTATATGAATAAATATTATTTCATATTTAAAGCTATTCATTTAAAATAACAAATCAACTTTATTTACCTAATCCTAATCAAATTCCGAATATTGAACTAAAAATGTTGTGGCTCTTTAAAAACTGGGAAAGTTTGTAAATTGTAACTTTTGGCTCTTGCATATCAAAAGGTTGCCGACCCCTGAAATAAAGTATATTTTTTTAAAATGCCTATATTAAAATAGAGTATACATTTTTTTTAAAATAACTATAAAGAGAGAAAAAAATACTGCCTAAGCTTAAATCCATGATCTTTCAATATAACATCGAATTATCAATAAATAAATCATTCAAAATTTCAATAAACATAAATTAAAGGTATTGTGTTTTATTTTTACTTTCTCGTATACAGAGTATAGATAAAGTATTGTAATCGTGCAAAAAAAAATCGAGATTTTTTGCAAATTTTGACGTTTTACACCTCCCTGAGTCGAAAAAACATAGTTTTGCAATCTTGTCCGTATGTCTGTGTGTGTGTATATCTGTGTGTATGTGTGTCTGTAAACACGATAACTTGAGTACCGTTACTGCTAGGTTGATGAAATTTCATATATAATTATAATATCAAATGTGTAGATCCGTATCAACTTTTCAGCGATTTCCGATAACCGGAAGTGGAACTTTTTCTACTTTGAATTTTCAAAAGCTTATAATTTGATTACTACTTCAGATAGATAAATGAAATTTCACATAAGTAAAAGATCCAATTCGTTGCCTTCTATCAAATTTTTAGTAGCTTTTGTTGACCGCTATTTCCGATTTCTCAAATAAATGCTTGTGAATTTATAAAGTACTAATAATATTTCGCACTGTTATACACATTTTATTTGGCGTTCACTTGATGTGCTGTTTTTTTTTTCTACGAGATTCTATTCTATTTTAAAAAGTTTAAGTAATTTAAAATGGATTAAAAATCATGTCTATATCCCCGAGTTGCCATCCCCCGTAGTGTTATATAAGTATGTTCGAGAAATTTTAGGGGAGATCACTCCCGGTTTATTTGTTACATAAAAAAAATCATTTTTACATGCCTTATGTAAAAGACTAAGACTCGCATGACATCTGCAGAATAATTAAATACAAACCAACTATTTCCTAAGTCCTGACATGACATTCCACAATGTTGTGCTTGTCCATTATGTGTAAAGTTACCCCACCACCCAACAGTTATATCACAAGTCTTCTTGTATTTTTTCTTTCTATGTCAATCTTTAATAACACTCCCCCCCCCCCCCCCCATCCCGCGGTTATATTCTACATTCCCACTGTGTAGCTATTTAAAATAGTTTACAAGCGGTTGGTTAAAGTGTGGCTCCTTTCTATTCTCTCACCAGGAAACAAAGCATGGAAGGTCAGCTCTACTGCGAGGCTCATGCGCCGCAGTCCCATGGCTCCACACCCAGCCCAGACGCCGACGACAAGGTGGGATGAACCTTTAATACACACACCCACACACACACACACACACACACACACACATATATATATATATATATATATAAATATATATATATATATATATATATATATATATATATATATATATATATATATATATAGATAGATATAGATATATATATATATATATATATATATATATATATATATATATATATATATATAGATATATAGATATATATATATATATATATATATATATATATATATATATATATATATAGATATATATATATTTGTATATGTATATATGTATCTATATCTATATATATATATATATATACATATATATATATATATATATATATATATATATATATATATATATATAGATATATATATATATATAGATATATATATATATATATATATATATATATATATATATATATATATATATATATATATATATATATATATATATGCGTGTGACTGTGTGTGATTGCAAGTGTGTCAGTGCATGTGAGTGTGGGTTTGATGTATAATGTTATATCAACTTATATCAACATTTGTTCGAACAACCCCCCCCTCCCTTCCTAATCACACACACACCTCCCCGCCTCCCCACAGTAAAGCAGCGTTGTTAATTAGCGATCAAGAAAGGATCGGACATAAAATGGTCAGATGTATCTAATTATCTAAGGGGTAATGAACAACAACCGTAGCTTAAATAAACTCCTTTCCCACCACCACAATAAAACCATCAACTTACCACTCTTACATTCTCCCCGACCCCCCCCCCACCCCCCACCCCCCACCCCCACTACAGTAAACTACTCAGCTGCCATCCCCATACCCCCTTCCACTGGCTTAACCTAAACTGAACATCCCCTAACCGAAATATGATCAATTAAATTCCAGTGCTCCGGGTATTGATTTTTATGCCCAGTACTGAATCGGTGTAAATCAGGGGTGTTTCAAGAACCATAACTACTGGCCCGGAAGATAATCATGAGAGAGAAGGGATTTGGCGATTACGTCCCTTGTTGCGTGTCTGTCTTGATAGTCAACAGAGACATTTATTATTACTACTATTATTGTTGTTATTATATTTTCAATAAAATGTCGGTTGGATTCACTTGGTAATTTTTTAATCCCAATATTTACTTTTAAAAACACAGTAATTTATCTTGTTTTAAAATGTGTTTATCTTAGAAGTATGTACAGCTATTTATAGTTTAGTAAACTTTCAGTCAATAATAATTCTTATCACATTTTTTACTTTCTCGTATATACGTAGTATACAGAGGCGTAGCTAGGGGGGGGCGGGGGGGGGGGGCGGCCGCCCCGGGCGCCGACCCTATGGGGGCGCCAAAAGGGGTGGGAAAAATTTTTTAAAGCTGATTTTATGCTGCAGTTTTGAATTATAAACTGTCTAAGTTAAGAAATATAATGGCTACACGCATTTACATACTGATTTAACTGTTTTCTATCTTGATTTCTTAATGTAAAACATATACTCTTAAGAAACAGTGACGGCAAAACCGCTTTGAAGCTTTTCCTAGATGGGGGGGGGGGGCGCTTTTTCGAGACTTAAAACGGAAGAATTTACACTAGATTGTTGAGTCGATAAACGTTACCACTATTAAAAGAAACCAATTGTATTAAAACGTATTGTACGATTGTTGAACTGTAAAATACGTTAGTGACTTTTATCAAGATGGTGCAGGGGGGCGCTTTTAGGCTAAATAAAATAGCAAAATTACACAGGATTCTGAGTAAACAACCTTTAGCTCTCAGAAAGAAACGAATTGTACTGTGCATTGTATAATTGTGTAACATTTTTAAAAAAAAAGTTAGTTACGTTAAAAACCGCTCTACAAACTTTGTCCAAGATGGTTGTGATGAGTGTGTGTGGGGGTGGGGGGGGGGGGGGGGCGCTTTTTTCGCTAACAAAAATCGCAAGTATTTGTACTGGATTGGTGAGTAGATAACTCTCTTAACACTTAGTAAAGAAACCAAGTGTATTAACGCGTAATGTACAATTTCAATAGCCAGTTTTGTTAAAAAAAAAGACGCGACTAGTTCTTTGTAAGATTCTTACGATTCTCTCAACTTCAACGTGAGAGATCAGATACTTTTGATCAGTGTTTCTTCCAGACTTTTTTCTCCGGGGGGGGCACTTGAAATCTTCGGGGGGAGGGGGGAGGCGGTAAACTTTCTTCGGGGGGGGGGGGGCGGACACTGTTAAAAGTATATATTTTCTATATATAAATTATATAAATTTCATTTCGTTCGGGGGGGCGTAAAAATTTTTCCGGGGGGCTTCGCCCCCCCGAAAAGATGCCTGGAAGAAACTGTGTGCGAGAAGGCAGGGCAAATCTGCGAAATCCAAGACTACGAGCTGTTAACATCCGTTGGATTCCAGTTTGTTTTCTCTAGCTTGTTTTGTCATACCATCAACCAATCAACGAAATACCCATGTCGTATTCCAATGTGAACAATAAATATTTCTGATAACTTCTTCTTGTATGTCACTTGTGTGTCCTTACTCTAACAAACTTCGAATCCAATATGTACCATATCACAACAGAGATCGTTCAAAACTAGAACATAAAAGGCTGGTCTAAACATATTAGCGTTAGCTACAAACTACCCTCTAACACAGATCAGGCTTATTTTTTTTTACTGACATCTTTCGCAAAAAAAGTTAAACGCATCTTAATGGGAATTAAATTGTCGTAAAGTTTTAAGGAATGAAAATCATACAATGTAATTATTAAACCTTGTCCGGACTGTAGCATACACGCTTACACACACGCTTACACACACAAATACACTCTTACCCACACACAAGCTTATATATAAACACACTATCACACACACATAATTATACACACACACACACACACACACACACATATATATATATATATATATATATATATATATATATATATATATATATATATATATAGCGGGGGGGGGGGCGCCAAATTGAAAGTTCGCCCCGGGCGCCGGGAAGGGTCGCTACGCCTCTGGTAGTATAGAGAAAGTATTGTAATCGTGCAAAAAAAAAAAAATCGAGATTTTTACAAATCTCGACGTTTTACACCTCACTGATACGGAAAAACATAATTTTGCAATCTTGTCCGTATGTCTGTGTGTGTGTGTGTCTGTGTGTGTGTGTGTCTGTCCGTGTGTAAACACGATAACTTGAGTACCGTTACAGCTAGGTTGATGAAATTTCATGTATAAGTATTTTATCAAAATCGTAGATCCGTATCAACTTTTGAGCGATTTCCGATAACCGGAAGTGGTACTTTTCCTACTTTGAATTTTTCAAAAGCCTATAACTTGAGTACTATTTCAGATTGATAAATGAAATTTCACATGTAAGTAAAAGATCTAATTCTCTACCTTCTGTTAAATTTTGAGTAATTTCCGTTGACTGGAAGTAGTAATTTACGCTACTTCCGATTTCTCAAAAAACTAATGTAAATTTTAAAAGTACTAATAATATTGCGCACTATTATGCGCTTTTTTTATTTGCGTTCACTTGGTGTGCAATTAATTTGTCTACGAGATTTTATTCTATTTTTAAAACTTTAAGTATTTAAAATGGATTAAAAATCATGTCTATAGCCCGAGTTTCCATCCCCTGTTATTTTATATAAGAATATTCGAGAAAGTTTAGGGGAGATCACTCCCGGTTTATTTTTTCTGATAATGAAGACATCAAGTTTGTGTTGTATTATTATACAAATTTTAAAATTTCTTTTTTTTCATTTGTGTATTCGCCACCTAACCCAAACCCTAACCCTATCCAATAATGAAAATTGTTTAACTTATATCACACGTCTAAGTAATAAATAATTTGAAATACCGTGTCAATGTCATCAACTTTCCTCAAACTACCCACTATGAGACCAGCGCCAAAAAAAAAACACAACAAATTCAACACAGTGAGCTGAGTTCGCTGACGTATCAAAACACCCCCCCCCCCCCCATCGTCACCCCTATATCTTCGCCAAACCAAAAAAAAAATATTTAAACGTAGCTTAATATACACATAGTGTTGGGTATCTAAATACAACAGACCCTTTTAACGGTTTTACATCCTTTTTTTTCTAATTTTTTTTTTTTAAGAACAGCTAGTATTTAGTACGCTCATACATTAAGCACATTGATTGGTCCCCATAACAACTCGTTTTGCTTGGGTTCGACGGGCCTTAACTACCATTCACTTATTTTAATTCAATCCCTTATAATAGTTACCATTTTGTTTAGTGTATATTAAGCATAGCTTCACAATGTATTTGTCAATATTTGCCATTATGTAAATATTCATTACCTTATTACTTGTACGTAAATGTTGTTACTGTAAACCCCTGAATGTTTCTACAGAGAAATGCATTCATGCACATGTATTTTTTTTTTTTTAAAAATGAAAGTTTTAAAATTTAAAAAAAAAAATCAAGTCAAGAAGTAACATTTCTTTTTATCAGGTCCTTAGTTGATGTAGGTGCATCTCATAGTCATCATATGGCGAGTACTATGTGTAAAAAAAAATATCCAACTTGTTTCAGAACTCCGACTTGTTTGAGATGCTGGAACGAATCCAGGGTACACGCATAGACGATCAGAGATGCGACATGACGTCATTCTACAAGGTAAGATTGATGTGTCTGTTATTTTTCTTCCTCACAGTTAGTACAAACATCTTTTTGAATGCACTACTCTATAAACTAGTCTATTTGAGCTCTGGAACAGTGTAGGGGAGATAATAACAACATGTGGAACATTATACGCTTTACACTGTGTTTCAAGAAAGACAACTAGTTTGTCTTAAGATATTTTGTTTTGTTTGAGTTACCTCCCTTCCCAAGCCTTTCCATTTGCTTTGCTTATCTGCACATGAAAAAAAAAACATAAATTTCAAAAGCTCCTTTTTCGAATTGAAAATCAAAACAATTCATATTTTCTAATTGTATGAAACTTAAAATAAAAAGTTTGACAAGGGATTAAATTGTTTTATTTTATGGAATTAATGATCTTTTTACGTAATCGTCATTTCAGTACAACAGAACGTGTATTAATAATTTTAAATCGATCTTTTTTTTTTATTTTACTGTCACAATAAAGTTAATTCCCATGTGAGAAATAAATCTAATGTCCTCTGCACGACGCTCGTGCATTATTCACTAGTCTCCCCTTGTTTGTAGAGTGTGTGTGTTTGTGTATTCAAGTGTGTGTATGCGTACGTGCTTGTGTCAGTGTGTGGGTTTGCGTGGTCGTGTGTGTCTGCATATGCGTGTGTGTGCAAGTGTGTGTATGTATTTGTATATATGTATGTATGTATGTGTATGTTTAATGTGTGGGTGTGTTTGTGTATACGCGTGCGTGTGCAAGCGTGTGGCATCGTATGCTCACTTACTGCGTGCGAGTGCGTGTTGTTCGTATGTGTGTTTATGTGTGTGTGTGAATGTATGTATATGTATCATACGGGTGTATTTTTGTATTGAATGTATGTGTGTGTGTGTGTGTGTTTATGTGTGTGTGTGTGAATGTATGTATATGTATCGTATGGGTGTATTTTTGTATTGAATGTGTGTGTACATGTGTGTGTGTGAGTGTGTGTGTGCGTGTGTGTGTGTTTGTATGTATGTGTGTGTGAGAGAGAGAGAGAGAGAGTGAGTCTGACATGATACTGTACACCCACCTTGTCGCGTGCGCCTGTGTAAACATCTGTACGTGTATCATCGATTAACTGAGTGCACACAGTGAGTGCTTACTCGACACACGTTTTTTTGTTGTGATGCTGTCCATTTGTCGGCACACAAAGGTTTTTTACCTCCATCCTCACCGCCCTCCCTCCCCCCCCCTCTCTCTCTCTCTTTAATATTTCCTTACATAATATAAGGATATAACTCTCTCTCTCATTTTTTATGCAGGTTAATCTCTCTCACCCACTATCTCTCTCTCTCTCTCTCTCTCTCTCTCACACACACACACACACACATACACTCCTGGTAGTAGTACGTTACGATGATACATTGAAATAAAAAATAGTGGTCTTTTTGTGTTATACTACAGTACTGCCATTCCCGATACAGCTATTTTATTTCTTCACTTCCTACCATTCCCCTGGCTTATACCAGCTTTCGTACACTCTTTACCCACAATCCTCTACACTCCTTACCCACAATCCTCTCCACTCCTTACCTACAATCCTCTCCAATCTTTACCCACAATCCTCTACACCCCTTACCCACAATCCTCTCCACTTCTTACCCACAATCCTCTCCACTCCTTACTCACAATCCTCTCCTCTCTTTACCCACAATCTTCTCCACTCTTTACCCACAATGCACTCCTCTCTTTACCCACAATCCTCTCCACTCTTTACCCACAATCCTCTCCACTCTTTACCCACAATCCTCTCCTCTTCTTACCCACAATCCTCTCCTCTCTTTACCCACAATCCTCTCCACTCTTTACCCACAATCCTCTTCACTCTTTACCCACAATCCTCTCCTCTTCTTACCCACAATCCTCTACACTCCTTATCCACAATCCTCTTCACTCTTTACCCACAATCCTCTCCACTCTTTACCCACAATCCTCTCCTCTTCTTACCCACAATCCTCTACACTCCTTACCCACAATCCTCTACACTCTTTACCCACAATCATCTACACTTTTACACCCCTTACTTTCAATACCGCTAAAAACTGAGCTACTAAGGAACTCCACATTACATCATAGTAGTGCGGGTTTATTTTAAATGTAACTTCCAAAAAAAATGCGTTGGTTTATAAAATTATAAATCAACAGGCCGCGATTAAAGATTATATCTAGAGTAAAAAGAATCATTTTTTGTACTTATTATTTTCTTTACAGGTTATTTTTGTAGCCAGGTTTTATTTCTTTTTTTTCCCCAGTATCACTGTTAGAGTTGTGATAAGAGTTTATAGGTCTGATGTTGTGGTTATTGTCAGAATCGGAGCTAGAGTTAGCGTTAGTATATCGATACCAAAAGAAAACTAGAGTCGAAATGCTCCTCCGCAAATATTAAAAGTTGTTAGTTGATTGGTCGGCGTGGTCGAGCCTGTAAAGCTTGTGGTTGCTAAGCCGAAAAGTCTTGAGTTCGAACCCTCGGATGAGGCTCGTTAGCTGGGCACAGCCGCTTTTCTAGGAGAGACAACTCCAAAATCAAACGAGTGCTGCCTTGTAGTTTGTTCTTGGTTGGACAAAGGCTATGGAAGCAAACACAAAAACAAAAGAAGGCTGAAATCGGAGTCAATGGCCTCAACGACACGTATACTTAATTGTGTTGGAGGGGATCCCTTCCGACACTAAAATTAAGAACGAAGAAGAGGTTCGTTGATTTATTTTTTGTTTGATTGTTTCACAAATCTGACGAGACGCAATAACTGACGTAACATCGGCCTAGACCTTCAAGTACGTGCAGAATCTCGCGTGTATCTACGTCATCAAGCCCTACAGAACACGTCAACTCTACTGCATACCCGCTCACCTTCTTTCCGTGACCTGGCCAAACGGTCAACTCCATCGTAAACAACAATCCCCTCGGGGTTTTCGCCCCTACCGTATCTCCTCATCCCCCCTTCCCTCTACCAGATCCTGGCTACCTTGGAGAACTGGTGACGTCAAAGCATTGTCAGGTAGGGGTGGGGGGGGGGGGTGATAATTAAATAAATAACGAAACAGTTGACCTGTACTAGTGGTGAGCTTGTGTCATTTCGGCCGTATGTCGACCTAATTTTTTTTTCTACAATCTGTGCTGGCATTTTGGTGAGCGTTTTAATCACTGCGAGCCAAGGGAAGTAAGCAGAGAGTTGATCTAAGTGGTGTGACAAGGGGAGGTAACTAAAGGTTGTCGTACGTGACTTAAGGAAGGGAAGTAAGCAGGGGTTATTGTAATACGCAGGTAAAGTAAGCAAGGGTTGTTATATTAAGAAGGGGAAGTAAGCAGGGTTTATTGTAATACGCAGGTAAAGTAAGCAAGGGTTGTTATATTAAGAAGGTGAAGTAAGCAGGGGTTATTGTAATACGCAGATAAAGTAAGCAAGGGTTGTTATACTAAGAAGGGGAAGTTAGCAAAGGTTGTTATTCTAAGAGGGGGAAGTAAATAAAAAAAGAGAGATAGGCGGGGTTGTTGAATGGGAAGTAAGTACGTGTTGCTATAACAATAAGAGTGGGTTAGCAAAGATTACTATATTAAGAAGGGGAAATAAACAAGAACTGTTATAGTAATTGGAAATAAACAAGAGTTGTTAAAATAATTGGAAATAAACAAGAGTTGTTATAGCAATTGGAAATAAACAAGAGTTGTTATAGTAATTGGAAATAAACAAGTGTTGTTATAATAATTGGAAACAAATTAGGGTTGTTATAAGTCTAGTTTTATTGGTGTCACAGTAGACGTTTTGAATAGTCTAGTTTTGTTGGTGTCCTACCTACCATTTTGGAAAGTCTAAGATTTAAGTTTTCTAAAAAAAAAAGCAATCGGTATCCAAACCCCTGTTCTCTACGTTAGTGGCTCTGCGTCTTGCTACTCGGCCACAGTTTCCCTTTTAAGGCAAGTTAATGTTAACATTTCGCCTCTAAATAATCTCCCCTTCTCCCTAAACTCGGTTTTTATTCACCGTTTATTTTATAGAATACCCATCTTTTATTTTATAGAATACCCATCTTTATCCCACACTTTAATGCGGTAAAATTCACACCTCAATTAAATTTCAGCTCCAACTCACATCAACTCATCCGTTAAAAAAAATATTCAGTCATAATTGGAGCGTGCGCAAAGGGTTAGAACAAATATAAGTTTAGGGGAGGGGAAAGGGGGGTAAGAGGAATCAATGATTTTAAAAAAAAAAACATCTTTCTTTAAAAAAAAAATAAACTTCGAATCGAATTGCAGTGTCGCTGGTACTTCCTTCAAAATCGATCCCCCCCTAAATTAGTACTTACAGCGGAACTTTCTAGAAGGTCGTCTTTTTTTTTTTTGCATTGTCGCATTCTTCCCCCCCCCCCCCCCCCTTTACCTTTCTCCTCCACTTCTCCGCCCTCCCGATTAATTCGGCGGAAAACTGACGCTTTCTCTTGTAGGCTTTCTTATGAAATAAAATAGATTTTGTTAAAACCTAACTGCGCATGCGTGTAAATTGGCGGCAGGCGCTCGACGGGTTATCCAATTTCAACTGGTGGTATTTGGATCAGCGCAGACGTGAAATTGAGGGAAAATTATTGCTATGGAAACAAAGGTTTCCGGTACTTTCTATGTGACGCGGTGCAAGTCTTGGGGGAAAAAAATATATTTTTATTTTTTTTATTTTTTTGATACATCAAATGTAAACAGTCTATTGATCAACCTTAACTTTATACCTGTGTTGTTAAAAGGTGGTGTTAAAGATCTAGACTTTATGAAGTTGTGGCGGATATATTTTACGAAAAGCTACTCTGTTGGAAAATCGTTCTAATTTTTTTTTTAATAAATTCAAAGATTTTTGCATCAGAATTTTTTTAGCGCTTGATGATGAAAGAAAAGAAAGAATGAAACGCGAAATCCTTTTATATAATACATTGGCGTGCGGTGGGGTTTACAATTGTGGATCAGCTTGTAGGGGGGGGGGGCTGTCAATAAAAA